CACCCGCACCCACACCCACACCACACCCACACCCACACGCCACCCACACCCACACACCCACACCCACACCGACACCCCACACCCACACCCACACCCACACCCACACCCACACCCACACCCACACCCACACCCACACCCACAAATTATTCGATGAAATGAACATTTTACAATCCACATTCAAAGAAGTCAATTCATATCGTGAATCATTGAGTCATCAAATTCAGAAATATATAGGTGATCGTGCTCATGGTTCTAATGAAGATATCATCAATGATTAATATAATGAATCAGAAGACGAACAAGATCTTTTTCATAAATCAACAATAGAAAGTCATGAAAATGAAAATCGAATTCGATCTGATCAATTGTGGGGATATCTTCTTTCCAAATCTACAACATTCTGCAGTGAAATGACAAAAATTCTTGCATACGTTTATTCGATTCCTTGTTCGAATGCATTTGCTGAAGGTGTCTTCAGTCGCATGAAACACGCATGGACACCAAGTCGAAACTTGATGTCAACTGAAACTATTGCTGCTGAACTAAAGATAAGGTTAAATAGCAAGATCAAATGTGAAGACTTTTATTCTTTCGCACAATCTCAACCAGAATTGATCAAATGTGCCAATAGCAAGCAAAAATACAGTCATATAAAAAAACGTGTATTAACTATTGCGAACAGAGAAGGTTTGTTTTAAGTGAATATTTTTATTGTTATTTGAACAGATATATTTAGAGAAAAAGATTTATGTGTGAACTGAACTTCTTGTTTCGAAATAAATACTAGATTTTGAATTTGAATACTATTTTCAAAGCAGAAAAAAGGTTGAAAATGATCTTTTTATGCTAAAAATACTTTTCAAAACTGATTTCTCATGTACATTTGGTGGTTACTAAGGAGAAAATTGTGTACCCCATGGACGTACCCCATTTACACTGATTTTGTACCTTCGATGTACCCCATTTAAAAATTTTTGTACCCCATTCGAGACCTGAACAGTTGGCAACCCTGAGTATCAATATCATTATTTTGTTCACATATTCTTACTGTATATTTAGTTCTCATTTCATATATATTTATTTTATTAACTGGTTTATTTCATGTATTAGAAAGATTATGTGAGTGGTATCACTTGTTTCTTCCTTCATGCTATTTTACTGGTATAATAATTTTATGATGGAGCAAACAAATCTTGATAAATCATTTGGCAAAACACTATTGACACTCGGTGTTGCAAGTACTGAACATAAACAATATTTAAACGATCAATCCAGTTCATTTGATGATGAAGCTAAAGCTTTTACTCAAGACAAAGAAATAATTGTCGCTGATAGAATTGAGGTAAATGTTATTATTGATTTATCTCGTGAAAATGGTATACCTATAACATCGAGTATAATAAATGATCATGATTGTGATATGGAGACAGTAGATCATGCAATAGTAACAAGTCAAGCATTAGCTAAATTACGAGAGAAAACATATGGTTGTTATTTACCAACATGAAAGCAACAACCAGAAACGTTCTATAAAACATATACATTTGATATATTTATTAATAGACATGAAACATACATTTGTTGGTTGTACAACAAAAAAGAAAAAAATGACAATGATAGTCTTGGTTGTAAACTTTGCGAGAAGTGCCAAAAAAGGACAAATTCAAATGGAAAAATTAATTTATGATACACATGGTGTTATCAAATAATGCAATTATCATAAATAAAGAAGCATAAAGATAATGAAGTTCACAAACATGCTCAACAGCTTGAATTACAAAATGCATTTAACTGCCCACCATCATGGGCAACAACATAAATGAAAGAATGAACTAAACATGACATTGCAATACAAAATTTGACTTTATCTGCAGTTTATATTTGTCAACAAGATCAATCAATTTAACTCATTCGAGAAATTATGTACGTTAATTAAAGCCCTTAGTGTTAAATTGTTGTCAGCAGATTTAGGTGGTGTTACACGTCGAAATGATAAGGCAGCATTGCCAGTTTTACATCATGTGGCTTCTTATTTACACGAAGAAGTTCTTGAAAAAGTAAAACAAAGTCAATCGATTGATAAAAAAAATTTACAAATTAAGAATAATGTTTTTTTTTGACTGTTTAGGTTGGATGATTGATGAAAGCACTTCTCGAAATGTAGAAAAAAGTCCCATAATCTATGTCAGATATTTTGAAAATTGGGAATCTAAAACAAACTTTTATGAAGTTTTAGGCTTAGATGGTGATGATTCAATCGTAAATATAGTCAATTGCATTAAATCATTGTGGCAAAAAGACGATATAAATCCTGAAAAAATATGTTGGTTTGCTGATAATGCTGCTACATTTACTGGTATTAAGCCTTTGTTTAAAAAAAATCAATTTTAACTGTTGTAGGTGTCAATAACGGTGTTGTGGTCAAACTTAAACGTAATCATAATCTATTTTATGTTGAACTAAATACATGTGTAGCACGCTCGTTTGCATTAGTAGGAAACCAAGCTGGATTTATTAAACATAATATGTATTATTTATACTTCTGTCCATTAATTAAAAAATGTTTTTAGATAATGATGAAAAAGCAAAAAAAACATGATTTTATTTCAAAACTTAAAAATATTATAGGTAGAGTTTATCAATATTTTGCTTCAAGCGCAAATCGAACGTTTAAAACTTAAATGTTGGCAAAATTTGTTGGATATTCCTGAATTAAATTTCAAAAGATTATTCAACATACGTTGGACAGCTATTCGAGATTCTATAAAACCTATCATGTTCAATATCGCACCAAGTCAATATTATTTTGATAGTTGTTTTATTTTATTAACATTATTTCTATCTTTTCTATTGTAGCAAATCAAGCCTTATTAGCTACATTACAAGAGATTAAATTTGGTAAAAGTTTAACCAGTGATGATCGTGAAACAGCAGCTGATTTATTATCTTCAATATTAAATGATGATTCTTGTTTATGCTTCATTTCCATTATGATTTACATAAATGTGTTCTAGGTAAGAAAATCTTATTTTTCATTGTGATCTTTTCACTTTGATTATCGGAGAATTAACTGAAGTGTTACAAAATGATGATTTATCTTATTTAACTTTAATGAACGTATTGAATGAAAAAAAAAACAAATATTAAATAATTGGCTTTCTCAATAACAAAAATCAAAATGTATTTTAGAACCCTCGTGGAATGATTATTTAGATTCTACTATGAACAACAATTCTTATGGTGCATTTCAAATTGTCGTTGATGATCGTGATAAATTGTGCAACGAATGTTTTATACATATTGATTGATTATTATTGGAATTGGATAGAAGATTCGAACCATCAAAATTACAGCGATATTTTCTTGTCTTATTTGAACCTGATGATTTAATCAATAATAAAGATGAAGTCATGAAATCAAATTATGGACGACAAGAACTTGAATATATTCGCACGAAATATAGAAATTTAAGTGGATTTAATTTGGATAAATGTCGAAATGAATGGAAAACATTAAAAATTTCATTAAATGATTTTGTATGTATTAATGAACAGCAAAAATTTAGAAGAATATTTTGGAAATCATTCATCTCATGGAAAGAAGCGATCGATGGTTCTTTTCATGGGCAGTACAAAAATATATTAATATTACTATCAATTTATTTGATATCACCATTTAATTCAGCTGAACGTGAACGTGGTTATTAAATTTTTAATAGAATACAAACAAATGGACATTAACAAATAATGATTGATACACTTGATGTGATAAAGACTATTCGTTTGCTTTTTTCTGATTGTTTGAGAATGTAAAACTAATGTGTTTCATTTAACTGCAAACAAACATCGCAGTTCGTGTCTTATTTTAGTGATCANGCAAAGATTGTTGAATTCCTTGTTTGTGCTCAGTTTTTTCATATTCCAGGAGTTCTAGGCCAGAAATTATATATTGTGATACTGAAAGAGTTGCAAAAATGAGACGTTCTCAGATCAATAATTCCGAAAAAGAAACGTGCTATCTTATGACAACATCATACTCATTAGGTCTATAAGCAGCAAAACCTCAATAATTCTTTTTTTCACGAAACTGTGCGGATGTGCAATCAATTGGGCATATAGGAGGGTGTGGGTGTAGATCTTCTCATCACACAAGCATTTACCCCCACACCCACACCCACACATCATCAGTTATGGCGCAGTCTGATTTCTATTTGCATTCTGACCCTTATTCTCTCTAAATCAGTATTTTTTATGAGAACTAAAACTATAGGTAGTACAAAATCTAATGATTGAAAAATCACAAGCTTGTAGTGCAATAAATTTTTTCTTACATACCATCGTTTTGCATAAAATATTAAGAAATTTCTAGAAAAGAATTATTCTACATGGATATAATTTAGCACTTCTTTAGATCACGTAGTTGACCTTCTTTGACTTGAACCAGTTCATTAGATGGTTTCTTTCTTACACAAACCGACCAATTCAGAATTTTGGTATCCTTTATGCAATTAATGTAATCCAAAAGAAACACGTTTTTTTCTTTTTTTTTCTATGTGAGAACGGCAAATTTTGTTTTTTCACAACAGTATTAACAAGCTGTCGAGATATTTTTCATTTTCTTTTCTGTACTGAATAAGTTCTTATCGAATGCTACGGTGTTCGTTGTTGACATAAGTACACTCTTTTAGAGTGAGGTGTGAAAATGTTAAAAAAGTCTAAAAGCCGACAGCTTATCAGAGATAGCAGAAGTGAGTGGAAAACTTGTTTTCATGATGTTTAGTTTTTATTCTAACTTTGTTTAGATGCTCAAACTAGTACGTTCACTTCTGCGATTGGATTATTTCATATAAAATGCGAAAATGACTTGTAGTCTACCATTATTTCACGAATGATTCTAATGTCGAATGGTAGTATTATGCTTGAAGATGTGTTCTATTATATAATCGAGGAAGAAGCATAATCTTAACTGAACAGCAATAAGATTAATACATAATTTGTTTCTGATTCTGTAAGTAATCTATCGATGAAATCTCTTTTATTTTGCTTGAAGCAAAATAGCCATGAGAACGATGAAAACAGTAGGAAGAAAAATCAAACTGATTTTGTTTTTCTTTATGTGCACGTGTACTATCGTAGAAAATTGTTGATACAGATTCTTTTATATTTGTTTATTTCTATGTGTGCTTTCGGTGCGTTAGCTCTCTAGTCTTCAAAATGTAGACGCTTGTTGTGTATAAATATTCATGTTATCTCTATATTACGATAGAAACTCTTAATTTATCGTGATACAAATACATGAGAGTTAAATACACTTATTGATTAGTTCACTATTTCTATTTCTTTTGATAATGCAGGTGACCAATTGTAGTTTTATCTGAGACTGTTTTCTTATCTCTTCGACTCTTTGATTATTATAATGAGTAACATCATCTATTTAGCACTAACAAAATATCAATTCTTAGTTTGCAGTGATGCGAAGCTAATTCTCCTAAACTTCACCGTCATGTATCGTTTTTCTACTTCTTTTTGAATGACTGACACAATGCATCGAAGCTTTTTTTATACTACTTCCATGGTTACATACAATGGTCTAATTTTTTTTCAGATTGATGTAGTTTTGTAAAACATTTCGACACACACAAAAAAGCATGTTTCCAATTATGGCCACAGTATAAGTTCATTGACAAAAGCTCAGATCGTACGTGAAAAGCCCTTGTGAACGATACAAATATAATCTTAGTTATTCTAATTTACGGGATTAATTTTAAACGGGAAGGCAAACAGCTTTTGCTAGAGACTTACGTAAACAGTCTTGTGATCTTAAGAGTCTAGATCTAAAGAAAATACTATATGGTCATGTTTTGAAAGAGACATTAATTCGCACAATATTTTTCGTCGAGAAAATAGAAAGACATTTGAGATTATATTCTGCATTTTTCTCTTTCGAAATCTATATAAGAGTATGCATGGAAAGAAAGTCTGAAACATAAGCACACCCAATCGTCTTTGGTTGACACCGATCAGTAACTTAACCAAGCTTCATAAAGAGGAAACCTAACGAACGGAATAAAAATATTTCTTTTTTCTCGAGCACGTCATTAAGCTGCAGCACGAAACAACTTATGAGATGTTATAATTGTTTATTTTGGTCGATAACAAGCCAGACAGGTAAACTTTAAAAAATAATGCATTTAAGCGCATTAAGGTTCCGTAATAACGCCGCTTCAACGAAATATTATCGTGAAAACGGTTTTATTACGTCATTTAAAGAAAATTAAAACACATTACCATATCCCAGTGCATTAAAATGAGTAAATTTTTCAAAATTTTCGCGTTTTTGTCGTTGTCGCTATCGAACTTACACATTAAAAAATGTTTACAAGACTAAAGAGATCTTCATGCTGTAATTTCGTTTTAGTAACCCGAAATATTTTTCGCTTCTTTAGTGCTGGTTTATTCAACTCATTATTAGTTCATTATAGCCTCCTTATTTAATAGAATGTAACTCTTTTATAATGAATTAGTTATGTTATTTCTGCTGCTGCACAGCATTTAACTCTCATGTTATCAACTATCCGTTTATACAGTATAGTTCAATGAGCATTTTTAGTTCTTTTCTCGTTATAAGAGTTTAAGTATGTAAAACTTTTATTCAGTAGATATGCATTTTGTCATCCCCAACTGGTTGCATTATCTTCCAACGTCATTTACCAGTAATAATAAAGATAATAACTATGCTTTTTAGTTCATCATGTCTCCATTCTCTTTCTCTTTATGACTTGTTCTATCTCTGATTCTTAGAATGATCAGACTGAGATGTTCAGGGGTGTCCCGAGGTCGCCAAGATTGGGGGGGGGGGGGGGGGCCATTGCAATAAGCGAGTGGGAAGATTGTTCCCAAGAGGAGC